GACGCTTAACGACTGAGCCACCCAGGCGCCCCTATAATATTTACTTTAAAGGAAGATTGAGAAAATGAGACTAGTATTTATTTGAAATATTTTGCAGTTCTTCACTAAATAGCAAGCTTGTAGGACCTCTAGTTTTACTTTATGCTCCTGCTCCCATTTTAGCAAGGAATTAGAATGAAACCTATCTTTAAAAAAAGGACAGTTACTGTCACGTATATGGCTATTGTGAGAAAGGCAGTACAGTTCTTACTCATGTGCAGAATTCTTTTGAGAAGATACGGAAACAACATAGGGTATTTCTATAGATGTAAGCAAAATCAGAGTAAATGGATATAATCAGTTTACTTTCCAACAATCTGATGTGGCTAGTTTTTTTAAAAATTGTGGCACTGTAGCATTTTGTCATGAATGGAAGAATGGCTCAAAGATGGCAAACACTGGATAGTGAAATTAACCCAGGTTCTGTAGTTTGACCTTTAAAATAATGAGTCAGATACACTTAGGGACATATCCATATTTGTAATTAACAGTGAGCTCTTCTAAGCATTCTGAGTAGCTGGGATGATTTTTGGTAAGTTTTTATTTAAAATGACAAAAGTAAGTTTCACCTTATCAAATGGTTACTAGGCTCTGAATTAAAACTCAAAAATAGTACCTCTTTGGGAATCTTCGCAGTTAATAGACCTAGCAACAGGACTGTTTAGTGTCTTATTGGTATTTTTTGAAGCAATAGAATTGGGATGGGAATTGGAAATGACAGAAGACATTTTTATTTTGGAAATTAGGGAATAGGAACTTGTAGTGATTTATAATGCTTAATGTCATTTAAAAAAATACAAAATATGTGCACCTTCTTGGCTCAGTTGGTAGAGCGTGTGCCTCTTGATCTCAGGGTCGTGAGTTGGAGCCCCATGTTGGGTGTAGAGATCACTAAAAAAATAAACTTGAAAAAATACAAAATAATGTTAGAAAACATTCATAGGAGAAAAATCTTGTAGAAATGATTTTGAAGTATTAAGTCATGAAGAAATACAAAATGCTACAAATGTTCCCCAGAAGGGGGAAAGATTTTTGGAGACTAGACTTGTAAGCTTAATGATTTTACCCAGCAAAACTTTTAATTGTTATTAAACAGATTTTGATGTTACTTATACTGTATCGGGAACCAGATACAGTAGAGTTTAGGGTAATTCTTGTTAAGAATGAACCCAATAAATAATGCTCCTCATTTTTTATTATTTGACCTGTCATTGTCTTTTAAGAGAGTTGTAGCTGAGAAACAGGAGAAAAGAAATCAGGAACGCCTGAAACGAAGAGAAGAAAGGGAGAGAGAAGAAAGAGAGAAGCTGAGGAGGTATGGAGTGATTAATTGAATAGTCCAAGTATGTGAAGTTGAAGGTCCTTGGCTCTAAAAAGAGATGTGATTGATACAGGATTTTAGGTGTTAATCTAGACATGGGAGATTTCTGTTTACTTTTGAAAATATTACCATGTGAAAGTGTTTATACAAATATGTTAAGTTACGGCCATTTAAGTCAAGGTGATTTCCTTCAAAATGTGTGGAAGGGTAAATAGTCACATCCTTATTTTTTGTAAGATTGACTACAAAGCTTTTCTAGCCCTCTGATTTTCATAATGGCTAGATTTGTACCAGATTGGTATCAAACTATTTTCATTTTTGTGATATACTTTATTCTTGACAAAGGTTTGAGTTTTGGGGTACCTGGCTGTTTTAGTTGGTAGAAATATGGCTCTTAATCTCAAGGCTGTGAGTTGGATCCCCACATTGGGTGTAAAGATGATTTAAAAAATAAAATCTTAAAAAAAATTATTTTACATCATACTTTGATTCTGTAATTCCTCAATTCTAGGAGGTATAAACTATTAAAATTGTATAAATAATAGCCAAATGTATGCAGTTCTTTTTATATTGGTATTCATTCGTTCATAAAACCATATTCTTCATATTTAGAATGCTTAAATGTACTGAGTGACTTTTACCCATTGGCAACAAATTGTGTGGCATCATGGTGGCAATATTTGAATTCATGTAAATAACTGTTTTAAGAACGTTACAATGCACAGTATGCCACAAAAGAATTACCTGCAGTTCTAATTTATGGTGTTCCCTTAATTGTATTGCATATCTCTGAAATTTAAATATTCTATCTCCAGCAGATTTTGTGCCTAATTAAAACCCTTTATAATATATGACTTGATCACGCCAGCTTTCCCCAAGCTTTGAGCATGTTATATTTATTTCAAGATGTTTAACTTTGTGTTACATGGCTTGTAGCAGGTAATGTTTTTGCACTGTAATGAAAAAATGAAACATAAGTACATGTGGATATTTTACCTTTTTAGGGGAAATGCTGTCATCATCCATTGATAAATATGTTCTTCATTTACCATAATTTTTTATCTCATAGCTTTATCACTATTCTCTTTTGTGTACACTGAGTTTCTATGGGAATCGTGCTCAGCATTTCGATACAAGACCATATAAGTGGCATTAGAAATCTCAGTTTTTATGTAGTGCCACTGATACATATGATTCAACTGAAATGATAGTTGAATGAGAAAGAAAAATTCTTTGCCATGACTACATTTTCACGTCTATAGATGACAAAGTATATCACATCTTACTCCTTTGTTGCCAGCTGACCGATTTCTTTTAACATTGATTATAAAATGTAATGCTATTTCAGAAATGTGTTTAAATTTTTTTTTAAATCTGTCTGTGAACTTGAGGAAATACTATAACCAAGAATGAAAGATGAAGAAATCATAAGGGAGTACAGAGTTAAGCAAGGTGGGATTCCAGCTATGGTATTGAAAAGGATAATGATAAAAATCACTGCCACTTACTAAGTTCCTATTATCTGTCAGGCACGGTGCTAAGAATTTACCTACAGTAGTTCATCTAATCCTTATAATCCTCCTGTGAAATTTCTATTACTGTCCTTGTTTTGCAAATGACAGGCAAAGCTTAGAGAAGGTTTATAATCTGTCCAGGTCACAGATAATGGTGCAGCCGGAGTTTTAAAACTTGAATCAGGCTGAGTCAAAAGCCATCCTTCAGTTGTGCTATGTATTCCCCACAAAAGACACCTGTGGTTTTCTAGTACCCATAATATTAGCCATTACTATTGAGTGTTAATTGTGTGCTAGGGAATCATGTGTCTTTTTTTAAGAAACAGATGTTGTAAGATTGAATTGGGTGTTTTAGGGATTATAGTGTGAGGTTGCAGTTTGAAAGTGAATACATCTCAAAAAAAAGAAAAAGTGAATACATCTCAGATTATAGAAAATTTTCTCTGTTCCCAGAGGGAAAGAAGAAATAACAGAGATAGAAATAACAAAGACTTTTCTCCAGGTTGGGAATTGATTTCTGGAGAATTAGTGAGTGGTGATGTACCATGTTATAGTCTCCTAGGAGCATATTCTTTTTAAAAGCCAGGTATCCTAGTTAGGGGATTTCATATGCCAAGGTGGGAAAGTCTGTGTAGTTATGGTGTATTTTGGAAAAATTTGTGTGCATTCATACGTGCCTTATATTTATAGAATTAATAAAAAGATTAGGAATCAGGAAGAGTGTAATTTTAACAGTACATTGTACTTTGGTCTCAGTTCTTTTTTTCTAAAAATAGATATTCTTTTTTTAGGTCTCGATCACATAGCAAGAATCCCAAAAGGTAAGCATACACAAAATATATATAACTAATGAAGTTGTTTTTTTTCAGAGGTAGTTTTTATAGATTAAATATCTTTTAAAAATGAATGAGAATTACTAGGTTAGTACTCTTAATTCTTTTGTAGTTCAAGTTTGGGCATTGTGTTTTAAGATGAAACTGGTTAGAAGGTACTCGTGAACTATAACTTTATCAGAGTAAAGTTATATATAGTGTCATGGTGTTAAAAGTAAAGCTAAAAATACTGGGGTGCCTGGTTGGCTCAGTTTGTGGAGCATGTGACGTCTTGATCTTGGGGTTGTGAGTTCAAGCCCCATGTTGGGAATAGAGCCTACTAAAAAAAAATAAGGAAAGCTTAAGAATATTTTAGAATATTTCATTAAAATCTTTAGAAGCGCAGGTTAAATACACGACAGAATTTATTTTAAAATCATTTTGGGTGGTACATGTCAGAAACGCAGGTCTAAGAGGTTATACCTGTTGAAAATATAAGTAGGTTAAGTAGTTGAATACATTTTTTAAAAGATTTTATTTATTTGAGAGAGATAGCGGGCATTGGGTCATGGGGTGCAGGGCAGAGGGAGAGGGAGAAGCAGACTCGCCGCTGTGCAGGGAGCCCGATGAGGGGCTTGATCCCAGGACCCTGGGATCACGATCTGAGCTGAAGGAAGACACTTAACCAACTGAGCCACCCAGGCAGCCCTACCTGAATACATTTTTGAAAGAAGGATCCATAGTGGCTTATTGAAGAGAAACTAAAATGCTTATTAGTTTACATCTTGATCTTCACTTTATATGAGTTTATTATCCCTTTGTACATTGATGACAAAAAAACTTTAAAATTTTGACTTTTGGCATTAAAATTTGAGGGCTTTTTTGAAGACTTTGTAGTTTTTACTAGTTGCTGGTAATTTTTTTCTAACTGAGAAAGGTGGGGAAACATGTGTGTCATCATTTTTAATACTTCATGTGCAGTTTCCATGAGTCCATCCCCACCTAGAATGCCCTTTCTTATTGTCAAGTCCTACCATTTTTCTTGTTCAGATCACATCTTTTTGAAACCTTCCAGGTACTCTTATCTCTAAAGAGTAATTATTTCTCGAGAACTTTTCCCTATAAACTAGAGCATTTGTTGTTATAAAAGAAAAACCTGCCCAGTTGTGTCAGCCAATTTATATTGTTGTTTCTGAAATCTAGGATGAGAAATAAAAACATTGGGGCACCTGGGTGGCTCAGTCCTTAAGTGTCTGCCTTCAGCTCAGGTCATGATCCCGGGGTCCTGGAATCGAGCCCCGCATCAGGCTCCCTGCTCAGCGGGGAGCCTGTTTCTCCCTCTCCCACTCCCCCTGCTTGTGTTCCCTCTCTTGCTGTCTCTCTCTCTGTCAAATACATAAATGAAATCTTTAAAAAAAAAAAAATAGAAACATTAATTGGTGATACTATTCTTATTTACCGGTTGATTAATGCAAATTAGTCCCTTTGTTGAATAGATACTTACTTAAACTGTGTACATAAAACATCTTCAGATATTGAGGCCAGATATTTAATTTCTACTGTTCTACTCCCAGCTACTTGCCTCGTGATTACAATAGCCTCTTGACTGGTCTCTTAATTTCTGTACTTGCCCAGTTCTCTTCTCCCCCTGTCTGTTTTTCACACATCAGCCAGAATGAGCCCTTTAAAAAGTGAAACAAATTACATCAGCCCTCTTTTCAAACTCTCCAAAGGTGTTCCATTTCACTTAGGAGAAGTGAAAATCCTCGCCATAGCTTTTAAGTAGAGTGATCGATCTGAGAGTGGGATAGGAACTAGTTTATGTCTTTTGTCAGCATATTTATTAATAACTTCCCCTTGCTCCTTATATAATTTATCATTGAGAGCATCCTGGTTTGAATTATGAGGTATTGGGTCATCCTGCCTGTAGGTAAGACCCCTGAATTACTCCCCTTGCTCACTTCATTCCAGCCAAACAGGTATCTTTTAGTACTTCAACATTCTGAACTTTCTTCTACCACAAGGCCTTTACACCTGTGTTCCCCCTACCTGAAGCACCCTATTTTGAAATGGCTGATTAGCTGATTACCTTATTTTATCTTTGCTTAGATGCCGTTTTACCAGAAAAGCCTTTTCTATCTATCCTTTATAAAAGATTACCACCTCATTTCTGTCCATCTTTACCTCCTTAATATATCATTTCTTTACTAGCTGACGTATCTTTGTTGACTGCTAACATACCTGTGTGGACTTCTTTCTGGAGCATAACCTCTATGAGGTTAAGGACTTTGCTTTATTTGCTGCTCAGTCTTTTTCTAGTACCTAGAACAGTGCAGTGTACACCCAGTAAATACTTAAAAAAAATTTTTTTTGGATTTTATTTGAGAGGAGAGCGAGTGGGAGAACACGAGTGGGAAGAGGGGCAGAGGGAGGGAGAGGGAGAAGCAGATTCCCCGCGGAGCAGGGAGCCCGATGCGGGGCTGGATGCCAGGACCCTGGGATCATGACCTGAGCTGAAGGCAGATGCCCAACGACTGAGCCATCTAGGTGCCCCTAAATACTTTTTAAATGAACAATTGTCTAGAATTTTTTAAAAGATGAATGAAATTATACATTGAAAGACATAGGTTCATTGTAATAGCTCAGAATGAGTGATTAAACAAAATACCATTTACTAAAACTTGGATTGAATGAATTTTCTTTTCCCTATGCTCCTTTTCAGAGATACTTCATTGTTGAAGTACTCAACTGTGGTTGATGCTGGGTCCACTATATATGTCGTTCTTTGAATATAATGTTGACATAAGCTGAATGCTTTTAAACTTCATTTAACAAAATCTTCACTTGAAAGTGAGCTGTTTGTAAATTGTATCACCTGAATATGCTTTTGAATTTATTAAATTATGAGAAAATATCACATTCTTAAAGTGACTCAGTTTTTAACAGCTTTATTGGGGTATAATTTACAAAGCATAAGTTCACCCATTTAAACTGTACAGGTCAATCATTTTTTAGTGAATTCAGAGTTGTGGAACTGTCCAAGTCAAGTGTAGATCGTTGCCATTACTCTTAAAATGACCTTTGGAAGAAAGTTGCATAGCTTTCTTCCTGCTTGTTTTCTCTGCAATGTGTTATGTCCTCTGCATGTGCCATTTCAACCCTCAGCCCACACGTGTGTTGTTAGTTGTGTGACACAGCGGAGACTGCCCAAGTGTTTGTCTTCTGGCTTCTTCAAAACATTCTTCCTTTTCTCTACTGTTCTCATACTTTATCGGAATTGAACAAAGTTCTCTAAACTGATTTATGTATGTTAGGTTTTTCTACCAATTTAAGTACTGCTTTAATAGAGAACTGTGTTGATTATCCTGTGACTAAGTATATTGTGGGCATTTAGACTTATTTTGATGGTCCTGTCACCTTTTTAATTCAGTTAGTGACTTATCATAAATGATAGTCTTTCTCCTGCCTCTTCTCACTTTTATCCATATCCATCAGGTACATACTTTGTTTCTAAAGTATACCAGAAATCTTAGAAGTTTAAATGAAATACAAATCCATAAATCACCTAGAGAATACAGTCCAGTCCTTGGCATGTAGTAGTGTTATGAATTGTCTTAATTTTTATATTTTTTGATGTAAATCTGTACAATATTGGTTGAGCTCTGAGACTAGTGTTTCATTTGTATTTTGAAATTCTAGTGTGTAGTTAATATGCCACCATTTTATTTTGGTGTAGATGTAGCTGACTTGAAATAGAACTGGCATTAAGTCAGGTTACTGAGATAGCCTCTGTCTTAAAAGAAGAGGCTTTAGCAAAGGAGAAATGCATTGCTGAGAAAGCTAGAGACTAAAAGCCCATGTTTTTTGTAGGTCCAGGTCCAGAGAGCATCGCAGACATCGCTCTCGCTCTGTGTCACGGGAACGGAAGAGGAGAACTCGATCCAAGTCGCGGGAGAAACGCCATCGCCACCGATCCCGCTCGAGTAGCCGCAGCCGCAGCCGCAGCCATCAGCGCAGCGGGCACAGCTCGAGAGACAGGAGCAGAGAGCGATCCCGGAGGAGGTACTGAGGCGTCCGTGAGAGGAATGGAACTACCTTTATGGTTTAGAGGTGGAATACTAGTGGTTTGCAACTTGCATCTGGTCACATGTACACATTTGTGTGTGAGTGTATAACATTTTTTTCCCCCTGATTATATGGGTAGTTACAGAATACGCTTAGGAGCCAGAGTAAGAAATTGGAACCAATATGTGCTACAGAGGTTATTGCTTTTTCTTAGTGTATTTTGGAAAAAAAGTACTTTGTGGGCAATTTAGGTACCAATACTCAGTTTTTGCAGTATGTACTGGTGGATTATGGGTTCTGAGAAGCCCTTTCATTTAAAGAGTTTAGCTTTGTTTGACTTACAGTTTTCCAAACTTCTTTGAGCTGGTGCACTTTTTCAGAGCAGACACATTCTGGTATGTTATTTCATCTGCACTCTAGGTATACATTGCTATAGACAGTTAGCTTGGTGGGGCCAATTCAGAATCTTGACGCTAGACTTTCTTGGCATGAAAATTTGAAAGGTGCAAGGAGGGCAGATCTAGGGTGTGGTGCAGGACTTGAATATCTGTTCAGGACAAAGGATTAGAATGTGATAGAGCCTTAGCACTCAAAAACTACATCACCAAGCTCCCAAAACTTCTCAGGTCACAAGATGGTCTTTAAGCCAGGTCATTTCTATGGAACATAGAAACCATGCTTACAGTTGCTTTTTTCATGACAACTCTTCTTAAGCATATATGTAATAAACCTTTTTTGAGTGCCTAGCACCTACTAGTCTTAAATTTTCTATCGATTACTCTCCATAAAGCCCATGATAGAATTCCCAGAAAGCTGATAAAAATCTTTTGGTGGGGGTGGGGGAGAGGACAGAAGTCTTTCCTTGAAACCACTCACTCAAAGAGTTGGTGAATAGGCTTTCACTGAATATTTTCTTCTGTTCTTGCCTTGTTCCAAGTAGGTCCTTTTCCCTCCCCCAGCTTTACTGAGGTATAATTAAGATATTTGAGGTGTACTTTGTGGTGATTTGATATATATACACACACACGTTATGAAAGAGTTCCCACCAGTGGTTAATTAACATATCCTTCACCTCAGGTGTTTATCCTTTTTTTTTGAGAACATTCACGTTCTACTCTTATTAGCAAATTGGTTCAAGTAACTTTAATCAAAAAGAATTGTACACTTGCTTCTATACTAGGCCTAGTAAAAAATAACCAGGAAGTATACTGTGATTGAGCAACTTTATTCAAGTTAGAACACAAGACTAACATCTTTGATAATAAACAGACCATTAAAGTGCTAAAGTGTACATTCAGAGTAATACAGGAGTTTAGATGAGGGAAATACCATAGAAATTAAAAAAGGCTTCAGATAGATAGTAGGTAAAACCAGGTAGTAAAGAGATAATTTGAGATGGAGTAAATATCACAGACCAATGCAGAGAATGAACAAATTCCCCCTGAGATTTACCTGCGCTGTATGTTTTGAGAGTCACCCTACTGCTTGATGGAAGGTCTAGAGAGTTTGTTTTGTGAACTTGCCCCAGGTCATTGTTGCTGGTATCTGTGAACTCTCTGTCTTTATTAAATGGTGGTCGGGATGGAGGGGAGGGGCATGTCCCCTCACCAGGGTTGTGTTATCATAGTCCCCAGTGGTTCCTGCATTTATGAAGTTGTATAGGACGTATTTCTATCCTACATGACACCCTTAATATTTTCAGCATGTTTATAAACAGGTTTATTTTTGTAAAACTATTAAAAGTTTTTGCTTTTCTCAAGAGCACTTCTAATCTCGACAACTTAGTCTCTTTCAAAGCAGCCTTCTGTGTTTTTACCAAAAATAAGCAGCCAATTGCTATATCTTTGAGTTTAAATTTCAAGGTAAAGGTCCTAGTTACAAGTCTTACGATTTGCTTTTTCCCTAACTGTGAAATAGTGGTATGATATGATTCTGTTGGTGACATTTCCCTGGCAACAGTGATCTTAATAAATGAGGACTTACCTGCATTTTTCTACTTCCTGGTCTGTTCAAACACCTAGTGCAGTCTTGAGAGTCAGACTACTTGGGTTCAGTGGCCTTGGCCAAGTAATCTCATTATCCTGTCTTCCCCTCCCCACATCTTTGAAGTACCTGTGTTATTAGGATTAGTGGTAGTTTGAATGACATAGTGTAAGTAAACTGCTTATGGATGGGACGTTGTAATCCCTCACAGAATCGTAGTTGATGCTCATCTCATGGTTATTTTCCAGTTAGTACTGACCTCTGAGACTTACCTGCAACTGTGTCCTTAATTCTTAGGCATCATTTCTCTCCATATTCTATTCTTAAAAAGATTGTGGAGAGGATTAGTGTAACCAGACATGCACTGTGATTTTTTTTTTCACATCTTTTTAAAATCATGCTTATTAAAACCTTAAGGTAGAACATGCTCAAAATTGACATTAATTTTTGAACCTTTTTGGTTGAATCCTCCTTATTTCTAAAACTGAGTATAGTATTTTTTTCCTGCCTTAGAAGTTCAAAGTATTGCTTGACCCATGCTCAGAATTAGGATCTGAGGTCTGGTTAAGTGAGATTATATATAAAGTACCAGGTCACTTGTAAAGAACCAAGTAAATGTAATACATATTACTGATTCATTCTAGATGTTGAAAGTAATAGATTTTATATTCTGATCCCATAATATCCTTTGATTTTTCCTTCTGATTGAATCTCTGCTAGGAGCTTGTTATCACTTACCTTTCTTAATGAAATTGGGTATGGGAATGGAGAGTTGGTATCAAGAAACCGTTACGGTTAATCAAGATATAGGGTGATCATCTTTCTGTGTCTTCCATTCTTATTTTTTTTCTCTTGGTTGAATGAGCTCACTCAGGAAGAGTAAAGATTTCAAAAATAATAAATGGTTATTTAAAGCCATTTCATTGACTAATTCTCTTATCTAAGTCAAGTTTTGGCAAACTGTTGCCTGCAGGCCAAACCTGGCCCCATAGCCTGTTCTTTGAATAGCTAGTGAGCAATGGGTGGTTTTTACATTGTTAAAGGGTTGATAAAAAGAAAAGGAAGAAGAATACCCCCTTAAGTATTTACACTCTGGCCAGACAGCAAAGAAAAAAAGGTTTGCTGACCCCCATTCTAAGTCCTTAATTTCCACCCAGTTTGGCACCTACACTGTTGAGTTAACACTTCCACTTTTTTAAGGTATTGTCTGTATACTATTTTTATATTAAACACATTTGCCATGAATTAGAAAACCTTTATGATTACCTCTGAGATGATAACATCCTCCATTAAGTCATTATTGTAGCTTATGGTTTCTGACCCTTAATTTGTTTTCACTCATCTCCCTTGTCAGATTGGGTAGTGCTCTTTTCGGTCAGAAAACTGGCTCCTCTGTCTTTCTTGGATGTATTCTGTATAACTTCAGCTTTCAGTACCTTAATATTTATCCGATTCTTTCATTTGGATATTGGGTTTCCCAACACATTTTGCTCCTCAAATTAATATTTTTCAGATCCTCAAAAGAAAGATTCAGAGACCAAGACTTAGCATCACGTGACAGAGACAGGAATTCAAGAGACAGATCACCTCGTGACAGAGATCGAAAAGATAAGAAGCGGTCCTATGAGAGCGCTAATGGCAGATCAGAAGACAGGAGGAGCTCTGAAGAGCGCGAAGCAGGGGAGATATAATTAGCTGTGTACATATCCTCAATCCTTAAGCTTCCTATGGAGTTACATACTATTGTTTAGTTTACAGCTGTTGGGGGTAACAGTGAGCAGTTCCATACTCCGATCCAGATAGGCTAGATGCACAGTATCTAACTTGATCTGAACTGAACTTGTTTCCCTGATGAAGCCTAAAACTACATCCATAGTTTCTGGTGAACCTGTAATGCGATTCTGAAAGTACAGTTTTATATAATAAGATGCCGATATCTTTATTCTTTCTAGTAGGAGTGATAGTGAACGAATTGTGTTGCTTGCCTTGGGATTTTTTGAACATTTGTAAAATGCTGTCTTCCTTTCTAGTCCACAAACAACAGCTTCAGAATTTTTCTTTTTAATTCTTCTTCCTCTGACTTTTGTATCCCCTAACACCTCCACCCTCTAATTATAAGAGAAAGGGGGAGCAGGGAAGCAATATAACTTCTGTTCTAAGGTTCTGTTCCCATTTATTACTAGCTGATTACAGAGCATTTATACTGGAAAGTGTATTAAATACTGAGAGTTTTTGTTTTGTTTTATGGTGCCTATTTAGAGTTGGAAGTTGAACAGCTGTTGCATTACATACTTTGCTTTTTTTATTGAAATTTTGAAATCAAACATGTCTTGATTTTTCTGTTCTATTGAATTGCTATGTTCAGGATGTTTTGGAAAGGGGGGTGGGGGCAGGGACTCTTTCATAAGCACTTGTTTTATTTTGTGTGTGTGTGGAGTATAAAGGCTACAACCTTATTGTAAAAATTAATAAAATGAAACAATCACCACCACCATCCTTAAACTGTAACTTGTCTAGTAAATTGTCACTAGAACTATTTGCTGTGGGCCATTTCTTCTGTTACATCTTTATTAGTGCCTTACTGTGCAAGGCACCAAAGGAAATAAATACATACTTGCCAAGATGAACTGTTGCTCCACCTGGGCCCCTTGCTGACTGTATTCCAGCTACTTCAGGGCTGTTTGTAACAATTGCTATGGAGAACGACCAGACCTGGAAAAGATACTGGGTTTTTCTGTTTTTTTCATTCAGCAAACTAAAATAAAAACATCGTATACTCAACGAGAATAACAGTTTCTCCACTGAAGAGCTATGTACCTATTAGTGATTTTAAACAGTAGTTGGGAGGTATCCCTTGTGATTCTAGAAAATCTGGGAACAAAAATACTTGAGCCAAGTTAGGGTCTGTATGATCACCTTCTAACAGTTGTCTTTGGTCCCCCAGTTGTCTTTGGTCAATATTAAATTGGCAAATTTAATATGACTGAGATACATGGGCCACAGAAAGAGAAATTCTAAGTCACAAATTTACATCTAAAAGGGACACTCACCCAGTTTACTAAGCTGTGTGTCATTAAGGTTTCCTGCCATATTTGGTTGCACACACTCCAGTTGATGCATAATTCAGTCTGAGACCCATCTCCCCAGTAGCCCATTTTCTTTTACTCTTGGTTTCTGAGAAATTTTTTTTTTTTTTTAAATCTCCTTTGGATTTAGTACCTTGGGGTGTGGAGTAAGATCAAACAGGTTAAGCTGGTAGATACAAAACGACTGTGACCAAACTCCAAAACATTGGAAAATGTTTTAGCATCGTTTAAGTGAAGTTTACTATCTCTCTGCCTAATTGTATAAATGCTTATTAGCTGTTTGTTAAGGCAGTTCTGATTTGTAGGGCACTACAGGCTCCACGACTTAACAGGTCAGCAGGAGCCAGTGAAGGACGTCATCATCTCGGGCTGGGCTCCCATGTTAGAGCACTTGAGCTGCCTGGCTCTCTAACAATCTCATTTTAAAAATCCTTTCAGAATAATTCTGTTGCTTAGGTACTTCTAATATTTGGACTTCGGGATAAACGGTCTACATTTTAAATCATCACCCTTAAGCCAGGCAGCTAGTCTGAATTAGAATAACCCTAAAATCTCATCTGTAAGAAGGTGGAAGAGGGGTCAGTACCATATCCTCCATACTGAGAGGGATCTTAACACCAAAGATGATCCAGGGCATTGTACCGCTGTCTTCTACCCCTATTTTCTAAGCCGTATTTTCTGCAGCTATCTGGACCTTAATCCCCATATCTTTTGGAGCAAGGAGCATGATGGTGAGGTTACAGTTATCTATAAAGTGCCACCACCTGGTATGGAGGGAAAGGTGGCAGCAGAGGACCCTAGGCTTGCCTCATCCCACAAACACAACTATCCATTCATCCTAAATACCCCAGAAATCAACCTCAAGACTGGCAGACCAAACTCCACAAGTAAAACCGAAGGTAGGAAGTATAGAGATGGAGTTTGGGGAGAAATGGGTCCTGGCTGCTGCAGAGAGGAGGGAGCCCTGGTTATGGAGAAGGTAGAGAGAGGAACACATGGGGGAACACAAAAGGAGAACGTTTCCTCATAACCATTGGTTTGGAAAGTGAGAGGAGCTGAATTTGAGTTCTTGCAACCAGTGGGACTTAAAGCCAGATGTTTGTTAGCAGGCTGGGCGCCTGGAGAGTCCAGTCCGGAGGCTTCGCAACTGCTCTTGGAAAGAAGGCAGGCAAACAACCTAGGGACAGACAGTGTGGAAATAGTGATCTGAAGAGTGCCGGCAGAACCCACGGGTGGGGGCGGTGTGGAGATTATTTTATCTTCTCGGAGTGTGACCAAAGGCAGCATTCACAGAGATACAGCTCCAAGAACAAAGAAGCTGGGCTGCCCTTGCCTGCCCTTGCCCTCCCACACGCCTCAGTATAAACACAGAGCCACCTGCAGGAACTGGCTGCCTAACTGGCTTACAGTAAGCCTCACACCCCTGTGCTTCCGCAGAACTGTCCTTCTCAGTCAAGCCTGCTTTAGTCCCAAGTGTGGTGAGCCCCCTCATCCAGAAGACTGGCACAAACCCCTGCCCATACCATGTTTCCTGACCAGAGCCTCATGTCCAGTGAAGGTGATGACAAGTTTCATCTCACAAGCAGATCAAAGCCCACCTAACTAAAACTCGCCAGCTAAAACATTCAGGCCAGGGACCACACACTGACCATGGCAGGCAAGGGGAGCTTCTGGAGATAAACGGCCCGAAGGATAGAGGAGCCAGAATACAACAGCAGAAAACACGCACCACACATGGAGACACTCCCTGAAGCACCAGGCCCTGGGCACTACATGACCTGTTCAGAAGGCCATTACTTTAAGGAGCAGGAGACTTAACTGGCTAACCCACAGAAGCAGGCAGAGATTTAGACAAAGTGAGAAGGCAGATGAATTTATCCCAAATTAACAAGGTAAGGCCATGACCAGAGACCTAAGTGAAACAGAAGTAACATGTCTGAGGAGAATTTAAAGCAATGATCCCAAGGATACTTGTGGAGCTTGAGGAAAGAATGGAAGACATCAGTGAGACCATTACTACAGAGATAGGAGTTTAAAAAAAAAAGAAAGTGCAATAAATGATACTAGAAGCATGCATGGTGCAATGAACAGCAGGCTGGGAGAAGCAGAGCAATGAATTAATGACTTCAAGTAATAGAAAGTAATCAAGCTGAACAAAAGAAAAAAAATTACACAAAATGAGAATAGACTTAGGGAACTCACTGACTCCATCAATGTGTAGTAACATATCATAGGAGTCCTGGAAGAAGAGAGAGAGGGGACACAATTTTTTTGAAGCAGTAGCTGAAAACTTCCCTACACTGGGGAAGGAAACAGACATCCAGATGCAGGAGACACAGAGAACACCCATCAACATCAACATAAGCAGGCCAACACCAAGACATAATTAAATTTACAAAATATAGTCATAACAAAACCTTAAAAGCACTAACACAAAATAAGACCATTACTTATAAGGGAAAACCCACAAAGCTATTGGCGGATTTTTCATCAGAAACTCTCCAAGCCAGAAGGGACTGGCATGATCTATTCAAAGTGCTGAAAGAGAAAAATCTGCAGCCATCAGTACTCTACCCAGCAAAGCTAACATTCAAAATAAGAAAAATAGTTTCCCAAACAAAAATTAAGGTTCATGACCACTAAACCTGCCCTGCAAAAAATATTAAAGGAGAAATAGAAGAGACAAAAAGTGACAGTATGGAGGTAGGAAGCAAATGCAGTAAAAATGACTTTCTATTTAAAAAAAATCCTTTAAGGGGGGCGCCTGGGTGGCTCAGTCGTTAAGCGTCTGTCTTCAGCTCAGGTCATGATCCCAGGGTCCTGGGATCGAGCCCCGCATCGGGCCCTCTGCTCGGCAGGAAGCCTGCTTCACCCTCTTCCATTCCCCCCTGCTTGTGTTC